TTTTTCTTTTTGCTTATGTGGTGCTGAGGAATCGAACCCAGGGCCTTGAGCATGCAAGGCAAGCGCTCTACCACTGAGCCACCTTCCCAGCCCCTGTCTGTCCTTTTCTAATGTGACATCTTCCCAAGGATGTGCATTGCTTCTTCATCAGCCTTCCTCTCTCATCTCAGTGTTTCTCCTGGGCTTAGGATTCCTACTTTTTTCTGGCTGTCCAAAGTAAATTTATCAGAACAAGAAAGTCCTAGAACAAAAGAATAAGAACATAGGAATAGTCTTTTTCAGCATTCATAATACATATATGTGTACACACAGTATATATACATATATACACACATTGCACACACACATATATGTATATATACGCATATATATACACACATATATGCACACACACACACACACACACACACACACACACACACACACATATACACGCATATATAACATTTCAGATCTCAACCTCCTGAGTAGCTATGATTACAGTTGTGAGCTACTGGTGCCCAGCTATAATATTTTTTATTAGATAAGAAAGCAACCTCAAAGAATTAATCAAGCATAGCACCAATATACCATATATAGATGACCTATACTAATCAAGAGGTAGCAAATGTTTAAGAGACATAGCAGATAGAATCTGCATTTACATACATAATCAGGTGCGATGAGATCGAGGACAACTAAAAGAAGCTGCAAGAACAAGGTTACATAAACAAAGTATAGCTTCAAATAAGACAAGTGTGCTGAAGGAACTCTATGGGCACAGCTGTCAAGTTCAATCAGGCAGATACTACCACCATGAGAGCAAAATATGGTTAAATGGTGGGATACGCACACACAGGGTATGATATACCCTATATAATATGCCAAGCACAACACAGGTATCCCAAATTCTCTGTTCTAGATAGAGTTCTAGACAGAGTTAGCACGCCATTATCCATATTTGGTTTGTGCGTCAGAACAAAGCAGAATTAAGACAGCTGGGGCTGGATGGGGAGTAAGACCACCCTCCCTGTCAGAGTTGTATTTTGAGTGGAGGGCGAAGATGAGCATTCTGAGGGCAGTGTCATTCAATCTCTGATGACAGTGATATGCTGCTAAAATGAATACTAAAAATTTCTCCCAATAGATGGTTATTTCTTTGCTCCAAGTATATAATGTTTAAAATTTTAACTACATTTTAATTATATAACATTTTTTGGCATTTAGAGAACCCAGGGCTTCCCCCACATTAGGCAAGTGTTATACCACTGAGCTACACCTTCAGCCCCTGAGCAAGGAAAAAGATAGTTTTAAACATTTTATGTTTGTGGGTACCATTTTGGATTGCCTAATGTGTAATATTTCATGCCAGAAAAAACTTTTATCATGCAAAAACTGTTTTTCCTTCAAATGTAACTGAAGAGGAAGAGAAAGGAAAATGTTAGTGCCCTGGGAACTGGCACTAAGCTTTCCTTTTCTGTCCTAGTTCTACTCCTACAGCCCTCATGTGGCTCACAATGTCACTGCTACGGTGGGGCAGCACCTGCCCACCGAGTGGGTTGGGAGACTGCGGGGGCAAAGCCCATCTGTGAGAAGCTGATCATCTGTTTTGAAATTCTGAAAAGGTACTTAGTTTTCCATGATTTTAAAAGCAAACAAAAGAAATATTGGTTGACCATCATTTTCTCCACTTTCTTACTTCTTCTCCTTTTTTAAAATCAGTATTACTAGGATCAAATAAACTAATAATGAAAACTTCACTGCTAGTTGAAAATTCTCCTTTATTTCTGTATTTTTCAATGTGAAACAGTTTTGTTCTTCAACAGTTCCACAGAAGGGGACTTTGGCTCTTTAAAGTTTCTGTTGTTGATCTTTTGTTCCTTACTGTATTATACACTTCAGATGTGTATTACCTGAGTCTCTCAGAGATGCAGGAAGGTCAGAATTTTCATTCAGGAAATATTTCTTAATGCTACACTTTAAAATTTAACATTTAAAAACACTTAAGAAACATTATAGAATTATAAACATTAAAAAATTTACTGGGAGAAATGAGAGTACCAGTCATTTTATTCCTATTTACACAGTGCTCAAGCACAGATCTGGACACTTCCTGCTCAGCATCGCTCTCTTGAGTTGCTCATCAGCACCCTGGGGAAGTCCTCAGTCACTCTTTTCTTCTCCTTGGTAATGTCTGTACTCCGGCTTCAGCTCCCATGTGTTTTTGTGGATCCCTTTGACATTCTGAATACCGATTTCTTTCAAGATTTCTTTCAGGTATCCCTAAAAGAAGCCAAACAAACAACAAAACCACAAGAACTCCAATACATGAGATCCCAAAGGCAGGAAACAAAATTTAAAGTAAAATATGCCAAAATACATTTATGAGTAATAAAAATTATAACCATGAAGGCTCAACAAGATTTTTTTATAAAGAGGCTAAATTAATTACCTTTTGATTCTATTCATGTAATAAGTAACTTCATGAAATATCTGATTATATCAAAGGGGTGAGAAGTCCTGAACACTTGAAAGCTTAAAAAAAAAAAGGTCTAGAGGATAATACACTAGAAATTACTGGTGCACGATGTTTATTAGCACACCCAAGAACAGTATGCCAAGAACATCAAGGATAGTATGCTTCAATGACTGAGTTTAGTCAGAATGGAAGCAATAGTTTCAGAGGCAGAAGCACACACAGATGACACATATTTTGGGGGTTAGAAGATAATATTAAATAAAGCAAGCATACATCAGGCATCTGAAATTCTTGGTTCTAAGGTAGATTCTTAAACTTTGTCTATGAGGGCATTGATTTTTCCAGTGGAATAGAGAAAGTGTGTTTACCATTATTTACACATTAGCAAGTTTGCCAGGTATGGAGAAGAATAGGTAATCTTGGGCAAGGCCAAGATCTTGTGTTTGGCTCCAAAGAAGAGCATAGTGTTTAGGTCTCTGAAACTCAACAGGTATTTACCAGATGATTCAAGGAAATTATGCTATTTTAAGTGCAATACCAACTTAACTTTGCTTGCCAATGACTAGGCCTGAAGCATCCTACTATAAACTCAATGTAAATGGCAGTACTTTCTTGGAGGAGATAATATAATTTAAAAGTGACATTTTTTTCTGCTTTAAAACAAACTGATTTTTTTTTTTGGTGTGTATTCATTGAAGGATCAGTTTCAGTACTGATGACTTCATTAAAGGATATGTAATTAATTGAAATGAGGCTTTGATTGGGAAACGTGGTGAAGCTCAAGCCTGGATAATATTTAAGGCAGTGGTGCAAGACTTCCTGCAAGAGAACTGTGTGGGAAGCTTTAAGTAAGCTCCACCTGAGCCTGCATTTTAACAAGTCTCCAGGTGACTCACAGAAGCACTTACTCTCAAGTCATTTCCCCCCACTCCTCCCCCCCCACCTCCCCCCACCCTAGTATCAGTTCTAAGGATTCTTCTAGCTCTGATGCTTCTCAGCTGAGCTCTTGATGTTACTTAGTTCACTGAAGCTTCTATTGCTGGACAATACATGTTACCAACACAATCTAATGCCTTTTTACACTGACTGGTACAGTGCTGTACAATTCATAAAGTCTTTTCAGCTAGGAGTAGTTGTAATGAATGCGGTAGCAGATTAGCAATGAAATTACACGACTGCTTAGAAGACTGGGCAGTCTTCCATTTGAGCAGCCAGGTCCCACCAGGTGGCAGTAATGAGCCAATTGAGCCCTGAGTTCTCCTGGGTTCCTAGCCGGGCCTCCAACACCTTCTCCAGTTAGCTCCACTAAAGGAATGAGTAAGCAGATAGGATTGAGACTGTCAGGTAATAGGCATGTCTGCCATCTGCTACTTTGAATAATATTAAAACATTAGGACACTGGTCATAAACTACCTTTTAATTAAATTGGATTCATAAATGGAAAATGATGGGTTAAGCACAACCCATCATTTGAATCTCAGTTTAGCTGCCAAGAATGACATCTTTGTAAAATTCCAAAGAATGGTTTATTGTGAGGCTGGCTAAGATCCTGTTGCATAAACAATCATACAATTTTGGATGCACTTCAATGGGTCAAAAATGAAAAGAGCAGTCACTAGGAGCATTTGGGTAGTCCAGGAAAAGAACACAGCCCTCCTGACTTCAGGTTGTATGTCCACTTACAACCTAGACGTGGGAAATGCAAAGCCTTACAGGTATTTAAACATAGATTTTTTTTTTTTTTTTTTTGCTAGGCATGAGCACGAAGGGCTTGGGTTGCCCAAGGCTAGAACTCTACTACTTTCAGCCAAGCACCACTTCTGGTTTTCTGGTGGTTAATTGGACATAAGAGTCTCAGGGACTTTCCTGCCTAGGTTAGTTTGACCACGATCCTTATATCTCAGCCTCCTGTGTAGTCAGGATTACAGGCAGGAGCACCAGAGCCAGGCCAAATATAGAATATTAAGGAAGTCTTTAGTGTACAAACATAGTTGCTTTCGTGGGTAATCTGTCCTCATTTACATGGGTAACTTTTATACATGAAGATGTCACACTTTATTGCAACAATAACAAAGGATGGTATCATCACAGTCTCTTGATGCTTGTCAACAAAACAGGATTGGAGTCAGAATGTCTCACCATGATATAGACCGAGGTGGTGGTGGAATTTTAGGATGCTTCAAACTGTAACTGAAGACCTTTTTCTTTAACTAAATGAATTAGCTTGACAAGAGAGTAGGCACAAAGCATTAGCAGAGAGAATAGGTGATGAGGGGGAAAAACAAGGTAGCTAGGAAACAGTGAGATCAGGTTATTCCTTTACAATGTTTCAGCGACTTCCCTCTGGGCTACAGGCTCAGTTCCAGATTCCTTCAAAGGCACCATTCAGGCCTTCCTTTCCCCTCTTCCATCCTCTCCTTCTCACACACTCTCCACTTTTCTGTCTGCAGGCTTCTGGGTATTTTCACACGCGCATTTTCTTTCCCTGTAATGCTTATCCTTTTCCCTGACATCTCAGCCTCCTATCCTTTAAGATTAGGTGTAAATGCCTTTTTTTTTTTTTTAAACGCTGGTCCTGGGCTCTGTCCTTGAGCTTTCTGCTCAAAGCTAGTGTTCTACCTTGAGCCACAATGCCACTTCTGGCTTTTTCTGAATAGTTTATTGGAGATAAGAGTCTCATAGACTTTCTACCCAGGCTGGCTTTGAACCGCAAGCCTCAGATCTCAGCCTCCTGAGTAGCTAGGATTACAGGCATGGGCCACCAGCACCCAAATTAGAAGTCAATTTTTAAGAGAAACTTTTCCTCACCTCTTAGATTAAGTTTCATATTGTACATAGTTCAATTCAGTCCTTACTTTTTAAAAATAATATTATACTCCTTTAAAAATTTTATAACCACTATGCTTTCTTCTCTCTTGCTCTCGTCTTCCTGTGCTGGGAAAAGAAATCAGGGCCTCACATATGCTAGGCAAGTGCTCTACTAATGAGCTAATACTGCATTAAACTCATTTATTTTCATGCATTTCTTTCCTCTTAAAGCACATGCTTCTACTACACTGTGCCTTCTTTCACATCACAGACACTGAGTGTGCTATTCAGGACAAATAGGGAAAGGCTTGAAAGGAACAAGGCAGCTACAGGATCGGGTGGTGGTGGTGATGGTAGTGCTACTGGTGAGGGCAGAGGACTAAGAAGATTCCATAGGAACAAATACATGAACTCTAGTTCTTTTTCCTTAACATTCAGGCAGTAAATCCAGATGGAGAAACAAAACCGGATAACTGAACTTTACTACGTGAGTATGAATGAATTTATTATGAAAATCTGTGGTATAGTGATAAAATAATGGAGACAAAACCAATTGGGAGTAGAACCCGGGGCCTTGCAATATGCTTGCTAGGCATGCGTTGTATCACGGATCCCAGCCCTAAGGGGGCGATATTAAATGGAGACACAGATATCTACACGGACAAGTATAGTATTAAAGACATAGGTTCAAGTATTATGGAAGAAGGGTCCATTCTACTCAGTCTGCACCAGAAAGTTAGGCTCTCCTGAGGATAGAGATCTGATCATTTGAATAGAATAATTCTGTATTTTCTTGTAGAAAGCGAGAGAAACCTAGGTCCAACTCTTGTATTATACACATTGAGTGACTTTCGAATTTAATTTTTGTCTAACCACCTACATTTTAAGCAACCATTTTAGAACCAAGTAGACCTTCCAGTCACATGGGATTTGGGATGTTTCTCATTAGAGAGTACGTGCCATGTTGCAGCACTTGATCCAAATAAACTGGCTCAGTTCCAGCAGTTCTTTATCAAAGGGATATGTGGGAGAGAATTTACAGCAAGTCTGAATGCAGAGGAAAAAAGGGATGAAGCACAAAAGCTTTGTGGAAGTTCATAGATGAGCCTATATGCTTGATTATAGGTCAAGGAATTAGGGTGGGGTTTGCATTTGTGGGTCAAGAGAAAAGTGTGGCTTAGGGACGAAGGTAGGATTTCCTTTGGGGGCTGTGATAATGTTTAAAAACTGATTGCAGTAATGATTGAGTCAACTGGTATATCCATGAATTCACCTGAAGTTTTGGCCTTATTCAGAATTCAGGTTCTAAAAAAAGACTGAAACAAACCATATAAGTAAGAGCTAACAGGGGAAATTAAACACAGTTAATATTTTAGTATGATTATTTTATATTCTAAGACTTTTAATTAAGACCTCATAAGTTGGAAAATTTAGTTTTAAAAAATAGTCATCTCGCCGGGCGCTGGTGGCTCACGCCTGTAATCCTAGCTACTCAGGAGGCTGAGATCTGAGGATCGCGGTTCAAAGTCAGCCCGGGCAGGAGAGACCATGAGACTCCTATCTCCAGTAAACCACCAGAAAACCGGAAGTGGCGCTGTAGCTCAAGTGGTAGAGCGCTCGCCTT